CAAAATTGTAATCACATATGTCAATTAATTAGATTAAAATTTAAGTCTGAGACGTCAAGGTAACCAGAGACTTGGCATCCGAACAACTTAAAAAATTTTATTCATTGTTTTCTTCACTTCAACACCTAGGTCTGAAGTGTATGAGAAAAATGACATAATTGTTTTGAAAATTGTCATCGCAATTACTAATAATTATTTAAAATATTCTTAAATCAATTATTATATTATAAAAAATTAGAATTTATTTTTAAAATATCATTTACGGAAATGATATATATAATTAGGCTTTAAAAACTTTTCTAATCTGTACCATACAACTTCTTTTAGTTTTAAATTTCAATAAAAGAGGGTGGGAGGTATTTTCTGAAAAGCCTTCATTACCATATTCCCATCAATAAAGTATTTGTTACTACTACAAGTCTACAAACAAACGTCCATAGAAAATTTAAGACTTTATGTGACTGGTTTTGAATTTTTGATAAGACAAATTATATATAACACAATAACATATTTGGGAAGCATAGAAGATTTTATGACCAAAAAGCACTTGACCGGTAACAGTGATTGTCAAATTCTAGAGTCTAAAAAGGTCAATATTGATTGCATGCCAAAGTTGATTGTCAAATGTATAGGATGATGGATCGTATCAGTATTAGGGCCTACCCACTTTTTTGTTTTTTAGTAAGAAAATCGCCATATACAAAACAAGAATCACATAGAACATCAAGAACAAAAATTAGTAATAACAAAACTAACCCCCAAGCCAAGATCATAGCCTCGAAAATTTATTGCTGAGTTGCAATAAATTTACCTGACGACTGGCAAATTAATTGCTGAGTTGCGAGTGTGTTTGGTTCGGCAAGATGTGAGGGCTCAGAGATTTATTATTTTACATAATTCCAACTCTCATTTTGTTCTCAAATGGTCCCCTCCAATGCTCTTTGCAAATGGGCGTTGAGTCGATCAGAGACTTGGAATTTTGTATGCCCCAAAATGGCTGTCTGCAGCCATTGATATATATGCACACAAACTATCATATGATATGAGTTCAACCGTTCAATTATCACTAATTTTTGTTTAGATATTGGTACAACAATAAAAGGGACAAGGTTAAGGAATTATTTCTCTCTTTTTTTTCTCCAAAAAAAATAATAAATAATAATAACTTTAAAAAAATTTAGTAAAATTACAAAAATGAAATGTAAAAGTCATCCAAATATTTCAAAAAAGTACTCCCTCAAATAAAATGGGACATACACAAAGTTGTGAGTCACAGTTTTCGAAACCGTCATTTAAAATGGGACGAAAGTAATATATACATTTGAGTTTGCTAATTGCTATATGGTTGGATAGTGGATCGCGTCTATGCAGGATCCACACCCCATACAAATCCTAGTTAGTAGTCAAAATCAATTATATATCTTTTTTTAATTTATTTCTAAAAGATTAGTCAATCTCATGTCATTTTCTTCCTATTCATATGAAAGTTCAAATTGGGGATCAAGTCCAAATCACTTGTGATTACAAGTTTTGTGATATGCTTCTCCAAGTACACCGATCGTTGTCCAAAACTGCACATTTGATTTGTATTTGACCAAATCTTTTAAATTACGTAATCAACGTTTTAACATGTTGATACAAAAAAAAAAAAAAAAAAAAAAAAAAAAAAAATTTCATGCTACAAATGATAGGAGTGAACAACCGATTAAACAGTCCACACAATGAAATAGTATTTGACCATCAAATTTTGTTGGTGTAGCTCGTAAAAGACCTCTAACGAATATAATATGTTGAAATTAGTCAATGTGTCACAATATTGTAAGATAAAATAAGAGCTCACAATACTATAATATAAATACCAACACGTTCTTTATAGCCTTCCTCAAATATTAAAAACTTGGAACTCTCAGAAAAGGAAAAGGTCTTACAGACACGCTTAATTAAACATTAATAAAACATATTGGAAATAGTCTTACCTCTCGTGCATAAAAAAAATCTTACCAATGGTTTTCCTTTTGTCTTTTTCTCATCAGCCTCGGATGAATGGTATGATTGTGTCCACCAAAGTTCTATTCGTTGTTAATAATAATTGTAATATAAAATAAGAGTTATAAATCGGTCTAATTCGTTGTCATTTAGACGCTTAATTACAATATAAATTTTGGTTATTATAATCACATATGTCAATTCATTACATTAGGATTCAAGTCTGAGACATTAACTAGAGACTTAGCATCCGAAAAACTTGAAGAATTTTATTTATTGTTTTCTTCACTTCAACACGTAGTTCTCAAGTGTAGAAGAAAAATGACGCTTAATTAAAACATTAATAAAATATATTGAAAATAGTCTTACCTTGTCGTGCATTAAAAAAATCTTACCAATGGTTTTACTTTGTCATCTTTCTCATCAGCTTTGTATGAATGGTACGACTGTGAGCACCAAAGTTTTATTTGTTAAAATAAATAAAAATTGTAAAATAAAATAATGTTTTAATTCTTTGTCAATTAGACGCTTAGTTATAATATAAATTTTGGTATCAGTAAGATTGCAATCATAGATGTCAATTGATTAGAATTCAAACTTGAGACGTTAAATTTAGCATACGAACAACTTGAAGAATTTTATTCATTATTTTCTTCACTTAAATACGTAGGTTTCAAGTGTAGAAGAAAAATGACATAATTGTTTTGAAAACTGTCATCGCAATTACTAACAATTATTTAAAATATTCTTAAATCAATTATTATATTATAAAAAATTAAAATTTATTTTTAAAATATCATTTACGAAAATGATTTATATAATTAGTAGGGATGGTAATGGGGCGGAGTTGGGATAGAGTTGGCTAAACCCTACTCCGCCCCATTAAAAAATTCATCATATCAACTCCACTCCAACTCTGAGACGGGTGTATAATTGGTATACCATCCCCGCCCCTATTCCGGTTGACAAAATACCAACTCCGCCTCGCATACTCCGTTTAATTGCGGTAAAGTTGAAACTGTTGAATTAATTCATGGACTTGAGATAGAATACTAAGATTTTGAATCTTTGAAGATTGAATCACGTGCACAATTGTAAAATTTTAGTAAATAGTGATTCTAGCGAATATTTAGTCAAAATATATTAATAAACACTTAAATTAAATAAATATATATATATAATCGGGATCGGGGCAGGGATGGGGTGGGGGCATCACTAAATCCACCCCGTCCCAAACTCATTTCGGATTTTCAATTCTTTTATCATATTCGTTCCAAACTTATTTATAGAACTATCAAATCAGTCCCATTAGAAACGAAGCGGAACAAAAACCCAGCGGGTTAGAAAAAATTACCATCCCTAATAATTAGGCTTTAAAAACTTTTCTAGTCCGTAACATACAACTTCTTTTAGTTTTAAAATTCAATAAAAGAGGGTGAGAAGTATTTTCTGAAAAGCTTTGATATATACCGCATTCTCATGAATAACGTATTTGTTACTACTACAAACAAACGTCCATAGAAAATTTAAGACTTTATGTGACTGGTTTTGAATTTTTGATACGACAAATTATATATAACAGTAAAAGCAATAGAAGATTGGTAACATTGAAAGTCAAATTCTAGAGCCTATAAGGCCTGCAGCGGGCTCGCGAAAGTCTATTGCGCCCTATCTAAAATGATGGGCGCTGTTTTTGTTCGCCGGTCGGTTTGCGATATTTAGCGAGCTGGCCCGCGATTACTATCTATTTATTTATTTATTTATTTTATTTGTTGCAAAACGACGCTGTTTTGAGTTATTTATTTTATCTTATCCTATGTCTATTGGAACAGTGGCAAAACAGTGCCTTAAGCAGAATTATTTTTTTTAAAAAAAAAACCTAAAAATGGGTTATTTTGAGCTCTTTTTAGAAAAAAAAAAATTTTTAATAAAATTTATTAAATAAAAAATATATTGTTTAGGTATTGTTTATCAAAAAAAAAATTATTTGGGTCAAAAATAAATTAAAAAAAGCTTTTTTTTTAATATTTGTTTTTTTAAAAAAAAAAAATTTTAAATATGTACCACAAACAATATATTTGGCGGTTAAAACACTGTTTGGCCGACACAAATAGTGCCTTAACGGATATAATTTTTAAAAATATATATATAATATATATTTTTTTTAACTTTTGTAAAAAAAATAATTAAAATTACAAATCCATCTATTTATTCGCATAGGATAAAAAATAAGATGAAAAATATAACCGTTATAAATATAACCGTTACGAATATAACTGTTTAGGAAAAGTTTTTTTTAAAAAAAAATTTAAATTAATTTAAATTTTTTATATTATTATTTTTAGAGAGTGAAAATTCAGATAGTCTGATGGAATATATGTTTTTAGAGAGTAAAAATTATGGACGTGACTCTTAAAATTATTGACCTAATTTTTGAAAAAATTAATATGATATTTCTAGGGAGTCAAAATTCAAATAAATCGACAGAGATGGCCTAAAAGGTCCAGATTGATTGCATGACAAAATTGATTGTCAAATGTACAGGATGTGATGGACCGTATCAGGGCCTAACCACTCGACTGGCAAATTAATTGCTGAGTTGAACACAATAAAAGATATTTATGGAACGTACTAAAACATATTTGACCTCAGTAACTTTTCTTTTTCAGAAAGTTATGCACCAACAAATAGTAATAATTAATGATTTTTGTAAAAAGATTTCAAAGAAACATTAGCGAGAGATCAATCAATTTATACTGTTTGAGTCTGTTACACTGCTAATATTATATTATAATAATTTAAAAGTTAATAATTGAGGACGCAGTCTACTGCCTGCAAATTTTACCACTATTACCAAAATCTTGAACCAGTATTACCAATCTTCTGAATCTTCTTTTGTTTCTTCTTTTCAGGCATGCGATTGCATAAAAAAAAGGCGTGGAATGGTAAAAGAGCGCATGTAAAAGGTCAACCATTTCGAATGAGTCCAATTTAAACCACGCAAAACACCTCTCTTTATATCCGTTAGGTCTCTTACTCTTCCGTCTCCATTATCTCCAGTTTTAGTTTCTCTCCTTCTACACACAACTTTCCTCTCACCTCACACCTCACACCCTCACACTCAACGTACACCATACTCTTATTAGATATCAACTCTCTATCTCTCTCTCTGTCTCTAAAACTGTGAAAATCTATAGATATAGTGAGAGAAAACACTGAGATATATATAAATATAATGCGGACTGTCAAATCCACTCCGGCTATGGCTTCGTCTTCTACCCATTCTTGTACTTCTTCACCGTTACGACGCTCTCCGCCTCCGACGTATCATCGTCAAACCTTCTCTGAATCGATCATGGAAGAGAACGTCGAAATTGCCGAATCAATCGTCACCAAATGGGACGTGGACGCCGCAACCTACTCCAAATTCGCACATCTGTTCAGCGACGACCGAAGAGAAGCCAAGGAGTTTCTCAAATCGGTGAAGGGATTGCAAGACGCGATGCAATTCTTCTTATCGGAGAATCTGAGTTCCGACAAGCTTGTTCGAGCTCAGAGCTTGATGCAAATCGCCATGAAGAGGCTCGAGAAGGAGTTCTTTCAGATACTGTCTTCCAACAGAAACTTTCCCGATCGTGAATCGGTTTCGAGCCGGTCGTCACGAGCATCGGCGAGATCGATGAATTCGGCTTCGGAAGACGAGTATTCCGAAGATGAATTTCAGGTGGAAGAAAATTCAATCTCCGAAGTCGAGCGAGTTTCGATGATTGCAATGTCTGATCTGAAAGCCATCGCAGATTGCATGATTTCTTCAGGCTACTCAAGAGAGTGTGTGAAGATTTACAAACTGATTCGGAAATCGATTGTTGATGAAAGCTTGTACGAACTCGGAGTTGAGAGGCTCACTTCCTCTCAGATTCAGAAGATGGACTGGGAGGTGATTGAGCTCAAGATCAAGCACTGGTTAAACGCGATGAAAGTCGCCGTGAAGACGCTCTTCAACGGCGAGAGAATTCTCTGCGATCACGTCTTCTCTGCCTCCGAGAAAATCAGAGAGTCGTGCTTCGTGGATATATGCAGAGACGGCGCAATTTCACTGTTTCAATTCCCAGAATGCGTAGCGAAGAGCCAGAAATCACCGGAGAAAATGTTCCGCACACTCGACCTCTACGAGTCCATTTCCGACCTCTGGCCGGAAATCGAGTCCATCTTTTCATTTGAATCAACCTCCGCAGTCCGATCACATGCCGTCACATCTCTCGTCAAGCTCGGCGATAATGTTCGTGCAATGCTGTCAGACTTCGAGGCGGCGATCCAAAAGGACACGTCCAAGTCGCCGGTGCCAGGCGGTGGTATACATCCTCTGACGCGTTACGTCATGAACTACGTCGTCTTCCTCACCGACTACAGCGGAATACTCTCCGACATAGTCGCCGACTGGCCGTTGTCCGTACAGAGTCCCATGCCAGAATCTTACTTCTTATCGCCGACCGCCGACGACAGCCCGACGTCGGCGATATCGTTGCGGTTGGCTTGGCTCATACTCGTCCTCCTCTGTAAGCTCGACGGCAAAGCCCAGCTCTACAAAGACGTGTCGTTATCGTACCTGTTCTTAGCAAACAACCTAAACTACGTCGTTTCCAAGGTGGCTTCATCGAACCTGAGACTTCTCTTGGGCGAGGATTGGTTGATGAAGCACGATACAAAGGTGAGACAGTACGCAGCGAACTACGAACGAATGGGGTGGAACAAAGTGATCTCATCACTGCCTGATCAGAATCAGACGGCTGATATTTCACCTGAGACAGCGAGGGAGTGTTTCAAGAGCTTTAACTCGGCCTTCGAAGAGGCGTACCGGAAACAGACTTCTTGGGTTATACCGGATTCGAAACTCCGAGACGAGATCAAACTCTCGCTGGCGAAGAATCTCCTGCGGACGTATCGGGCGTTTTACGATACGTATCGGATGACGTGTCCACGAGTGGTGGGTTTTGTTGATTCGTTGGTCAGATTTGCCCCTGACGATTTGGGAAATTACTTGTCGGATTTGTTTTACGGCACCGGAGGATCAGGATCAGGATCAGGATCAGGATCGGGCAGCACGTCGTCGTCTCATCCGTCACCTTCGAGGGATCGGCGATCCAATTGAGGAGTTACGTCTGTTTTAATCGCCGGCCGTATTCATGACTAAATTCCAATAACGACAAGGACCTGTGGGGGCCATACCATAACTATTAACGATTCTTTTGTGTTCCAAGCAGATAGGACCAAACTGTACAATTGATTTAAAAAAAAAACAAACAAACAAACAAACTGTACAATTGATTCTTGATATTTTGGCATGATTTTTTAAAATAATATATTAATTTTTGTACCTTTATCTTATCATAGCTGTGTGATAATTTTGATAATTAAGTCGGCATTGTTAAGTCAAAAGAAGTCAAGGTAAATACAAAGGTTGGCACGACACTAATTATTTTATGAATAAATGTAATCTATTCAATTAAATGCTCTTTCTCAGGAAATTAAGTTCTGAATATCTTTTGTGATTATGAAAACAAACTTACATTATATATAAGATTATTGTATGTTTGATCATTAATATTTATGTATAATATTTATTAATTATTATAATAGTCAAAGTTAATGACTTGCGTTGAGCTCCAAGAAATAAAAATAGGAGAGAAATATATATATAAAAAAAAAAAAAAAATTAGATAACATTATGGCAATCTATGTGCCAAGTTACATATCTACAATCTCATATTGTCGGTATGAAAAGTACTATTTAAGATTTGCACACTCTGATAACTTAAAAATAAAACCGCGTGAGCTGAGCTGGTACTCATGTGATTTAGTGGATCGTTATGGTTGGGGTTTAAGAATCATGAAGCTCTTGGCAAGACAATCGAGAGGGTGGTGACGTGTGAACCAACTAACCGACATTACTTATTAATCTCCAATTTTTCCAAAAACAAAGTTTCATTATCGACTTGTAGTTTTATGTGATCGTGAGTGATCGCATTCGGGCCCTCTTCTCTTATTGGGCCCTTGGCCTAGATAGTTTGATGTTTATCCCTTCCAAAGGAATGTAATTTTTAAATTAATTTTCAAAATCCATATAAATAGTTCATATATTTTTTTATTTTGTGTTAATTTTGTTAACACATTTTTAGATTTGGTCAAATATCATCTTCTAACATATTTATAAAATAACTATCACTCATATTCCTATTACAAATTTCTAAAATGATTTAAATATCATTTGACTTTTTTAAAACAACTCTTTAAATTAAATAATTAGATAAAAAGATCAATAAGCCAGTACCACACCCTTACTTTTCAAATGCAGTGGATGCATGTGTGTGAGTACCAACTAATAAAAAAAAAAAAAAAAAAAAAAAAAAAGACTAAAATATTCCTAAATATTTTATAAATTTACAAATCATATTATATATCTTTATTGTTATATATATATATATATATATATATATATATATATTATAGGTTATCTTTTCACCGAATCCGTGTATTGGCGGGTATGCGGGTGGCGGTGATAGGTGGGTTTAATAATGAGAGTATAATGGTCATTTAAGTAACTTAATATTTAGGAATAAATGGGATTAAAAAATTAGGAGCAAAGTTGTCCCCTTTTTTATATTTATTTATTTATTTATTTATTTATTATGTTTTTAAGGGGAAAAAGTAAAAATAGACCTAATTAATACTTATTTTGGAATGATATTTGACCAAACATGTTATCTCTTATCTTTTTATGCAATGGATTAAACACACTTGTTTAATGTTTCAAATTCACGCTAGATTTTAACCGTTAGTGGTGATACTTCAAGTTGTGGGCTGTTTTTTGGTTTAGCTCCCAATTCACTTGAGACTTGAAGCAATCACCATCCTCTGTTCTAGTGATGTAGATATCATCATTTAGGTTAATGTTATAGCTTGTGAATCAGGTTAAGTGGGTTGCGTGCTATTGCTATCGAGACTTGACATTATGAGTTGTACTTGTACAGGAGGATTTTCCCTCCTTTTTGGTGCAAAACAGGGACCTTTTAATGCTCTGTTTTAATGTTAGGGTGGTTAGCATGTCCACATTGAATCCCCCCATTCCCCACTGAAATGATTTGTTGTATGGGATGTGACATATGAATCAACTAACTAACTTTTATTAATCTCCAATTTTTCATTCTTAACTGCATTTAGTACTCCACTTCTCTCAAATAGGAAGCGTGTAAGATAGTGGGTTTCGGCATAGTGATTCTGTCATTCGACTTGGACTGGTTTCGATGTGGATAATTGTTACGAGTGTCCATATCTAATTCAGATAAAAAAAAATAAAAATAAATAGCAATGAAAAATTTGATGTTGTGCTTGTGTGTGTGTGTGTATATATATATGTATATGTCTGTTGTGTATATATATATATCTGTTGTGTTTGTGTGTGTATATATATATATATATGTTATTGTTTTTATTTATTTATTTTTAATAAGTCAAATAAGCTAAATAAAATACAAACACCCACAAAAAAAAAAAAAAAAAAAATGGTTGTTGAAAATTGTAATTGGAAATAGTAGTTAAAAAATAATGGTTGTTGTGTCAAAAAATAACATTTTGGATAAAATGCATCATTCAAACAAAATTGTTAAAATATAACATTTTGACATTGTAACTCTTCTCAAAATATAAATTTGGTATGCAAAAATAGCATTTTGCACTGAAGATGGTCTAAATATCCCATGTGTTTGCTATTTTGATGGGCTAAGCCTTGTTGCGTTACTTTGTGTTTTTGAATTGTTTGTGTCCATGCCAAAGCAAGGCCATTGTATATTCTTATAATCCTTTCATATATATATATATATAGATACAACTTTTACCTTCCCGAAAAAGGGTATATTTGTTTGCGTGAGAGTTTCTTACCTACAAAAAAACACACATGAAACCAACTGATTGGCTGGGCGTGAGCTGGGTCCATTTTGATAATTGATGGGGTTGATAGGACCATACTATAAACACACAGCGCTTGTTTCACTTAAATCCTATGAATCATAGCAAAACTATTTTTTTATTTATTTTAAAATTTTTGAATGGTGGGAAATTTAACTTTCTCTTAAGTGGATTTTTATTATTTTTTTTATTGTATTTAATCTCTCTCTTCTCTCTCTACCCACCCAAGAGTTAACCATAGAAGCCAACCCCAAGCCACAGACAACATATGAGGACTACTCCAAGTTAATGTCAGTTTGGGAATGTTGGAAAAGATAGTACATCCATTTTTTTTTAATGTGACACGTTTTTTTAGTGAATAATATTTAGGTCATCGTTAATGAGGATTTATACCATTCTTATTATTAATGTGAACCAATAATAAATAGACATATTATTTTTAATTACCAAATTCAATATAATGGGATAGATACCCATTTACCAAATCAGAGATGGTAATTTAATTATTATCTATGATTTGATAATTAAAATAAAATATATCTATTTATTATTGATTCAGCTCTCCACAATAAACCAATCCAAAGCGTCTCAAAAAAGGATCGGTGATTGACAGTGGAAGGTGTGCGGTTATGTATATGATGTAGATCCTCACTATTATTCTTTTTGGGACATCCCAAAAAGAAAAGAAGGCCCTAGAAATTTGGGATGTAATACTTTAAATAAAGAAATAAAAGATGAAAAGAAAAGAAAAAATCCTCTCGAAAGAGAGGTTAAAGTCATTTCCATGTTTTGAGAATATGGATGTTTCGTCTTGGTCCATGGTAGAGATAAAAGATTTTGTTGCCACTCAAGCCCACAGAATGGAATCTGGGAGCCCAGGGCCTGGTCCATATGGGCTGTCGGCCTCTGGGCATCTAACCCTTTCAAATGGTACTCAGACGACAGAGGCTGAAGAGTGAAGACATCATCCATTTTGAGAAGAAAAATGAACATTTTTATTCAATGTTATAGATATACCAGAAATGATTTCTTGGTCACGACAAACAAGAAATTTAGTTTGATTTGATTGTTATGTTCTTTAGTAATTACATTTTTTACACTTCAATCATATGTAAAGAGATCATTACTCAATACTCATAAACATATTGTGTTATTTATCGAAAAATATATAAAGTTCTCGTTTGCTTCATTTCATGAGTCATGCCTTAAAATTTTTATAAATAGTTTTGTGTTCTCCAGAAAAAAAAAAAATATAATAATAATAATAATAATAATAAATAAATAATAATAATAATAATAAAATCCAAAATAAGTAGAAAATTTATTTATTTAGTTTTTACTAGGTCTTTTTATAATTGTTTTCCACTTTTTGGGAAATAAGTGAATATCTTAAAAGAGAGTAGCAAAACTGAATCGAAAATGTGGTGCCCAAACCCAGGATTTCAAAACCTGTCCAAAACAAAACCAAACTTATTGTCCAGTCCATTTTAGCCCACTCCGTGGCCCAGTCAGTTACCACTAACCACCAATAGACATAGGCGGGAAAGTCTGAGTGAAGGTCCATGGTTGAAGGCGACCTTGATGGTTTGGTGATCGTCACCGGATAAAGAAGAAAGGGTTGGTGCTGTCTGGTTCTCAATTGATTACTGCATTCAATGTCTGTGAGGGAGGTAAGCATTGATCCCTAAAGATTCGATTTTTTCTCTCTCCACAAATGATACACATAAAAAATTATTTGGTACAACATAACCAAACAAGCCTATGTTAATTTCCTTTGTGTCACACACACACATACGATAATGATGATTGTTAAAGAGTATGGTATATAGCACTTAAGATTGTTTAGATTTATCAGCAGCAACATAAGATCAATTCACCTTACCAAATAAAACCAGAAGATCAATTCCATTTAAATCAATAATGAGAATTATGCCAATAGAATTATGAAAGAAAAAGAAAAAAAGGTCCAGTATCTATGAATTTGTTTATTACACCTATAGAATTATGCCAATAACCTTATTAGCACAAGATTTGTTGCATAATTCTGTTTATAAGCATTAATTAATGCAACATAAAAAGGAGTACTAATTAAGAAAATTTTGGGGCATGTTTGGTTTGTAACTCTGAAAACAATTTTAAAAAATTCAGAAAATAGAGAACAGTTTTCAAAAAACAATACAATAATGTTATCTGAAAACAGGTTTTTTTATAACTGAGTTTTCAAAAAATTGAACCAAACAGAATTTTTTTTGTACCATTTTGTGTTCTCAGTTTTCTGACAACAGAATACTATTTTCATAGTTACAAATCAAGCATGCCCTTGACTTTCATGTTGGCTTAGAAGCTTTAATTTGGTTGAGAATTAGTCTTTATCGATGTATTGGTTTTGTCTATTATAGCTAGAAACAAAAGTTTTTCCTTAT